GATTGTGGGAGTGACAGTTAATGAAGATCAAGTTTGGGGAGGTTAGGAAACTGGTAGAAGAGGGTAAAGACAAGGGTCGGGCCCGGGAGCACCTCGGCGACCTGCCGCCCACCTCCTAGTGCCGAACAGCTGGAACACCACGGACCTTTTCCGCGATGGTGCAGCCAATCGCCGCACTATGGCGAACGCACGCAAATCCAAGGAAGTCCCGACGGGGGATCCAAATCTTGAGCCAAACGGCCATTCGGCCGTTTTGCCACATGATGAAACAACACGTGAACAAAACACAGCTTTAAAAGAAATCTCAAATTTGAGACCATGACTTTCCGGAAAATTAGAAACCAAAGGAGATTTGTTGAAACAAACAGTGTTTTAACATGTCTCAACAAACGTTGACCCGTCCCAACTCCTCATTCAACGAAATTCATGTGGGAGACTCTGAATTCTTCTGGGCAAATTACGACAAGTCATAGACCCTACATTTGGGAACTTCACCACGGGTCGTCCGCTCCACCCCCCAATCGGTGAGCTCGTTAAAATCTGTCAAGATCCGCAAGCAAACCTTAGGTGGGCTGGCTTCTTGTTGTGCCAAGCCACGACAAGGGACAATTCGCGAACCGGAAGTTTTGTGCGTCTTCGTCCCTCCCAACATTGACCACAGACTATCAGCGTTTTATGGAGCTTCATTTCAAGAGCCAGTCGCATCCGACAATGGCCTGCGATGTTCAGAACCAGAGCTCCCGGCGCCAAAACGAAACCAGCCCAACAACTCCTCCAGGGAAAACGGTTACTAAGGCCTTACCAAGGCCTTAGATTTCGGGGGGCGGAAGGGGGGGGGGCTTGTGTCTCAACAGCGGCGTTGGCTGGAGGCCCTGGGGTGGGTTCTGGGTTCCGCACAGGTTTTGGGAAGGTTCTCAGGCTGTTGGGGGTGCTCCTTGGGTTTGGGGGGGTTGATGATATCTGACCAGCTCCCTTCTCCAAGTGCCGTCCAGCGGCCAGCGTCTGCGTAATGGTCCTCTGATTCTGCTTCATGTAGTGCTCCTTGTAGAACCTGCAGTGCAAAATGGGCTGTTTTGGATGCCGGTTCCACCCGTAGCCTTCCCCTTGACTGCGACACGAGCACCAAAAGAGTGCCGAACGAGTGCCAACGGCTGGTGAACTCCACGGAACATGCCGTTTCCAACTTGCCGTTAAGTGGCAAGGGTGTCTTGCCCCAAGTGAATCACTTTAGTCACCTGAGCATTCTTAGCCCACACATGGGGACGGTGTTCCTTGGGTTGGCTTTCCACTATGGACAACCGACAACAAAAAGTCATAGGACACCAATGGAAATACAGGAACCGCATGAGAAACCACAAGACAACCACCCAAAAACCATCAGAAAAACACCTATCTGTTTTTCTTGCAAGCAAGGCAAAACCACAGAAAGAAAACTTTATCGAACTCCTATAAAGGAATCCCCGGGAATCAATCCAATCCCCCCGAACCCAAAGGGTCTCGGTGGGGTCGTCTCCGAGGCGCTGCTCCACCTCGGCGGCCTTCTCCGAGGTGCAGAAGCCCCGCGCGGAGCCCGCGATCATGGCCTCTTGGAGCGGAAGGGAGTTGGGTGGAACTTGGCAGGGGGACAACGGGGAGAACCCGAAGACTTGGCTTCGCTTTTTGTTGGGAACTTGTTGTTGTTTTGTTTTTGTTGTGTTTTGCTTTTTTGGGAGGTGCGGGTGGGTGGATTTTCCAGCACCCTGTTCTTTGTTTCCCCATGGCTTTGGAAGACCCTTCATTGTTGGAACACCCTTCCTTGTTCTTTATCGATGTCTAATTTTGGAGGGGGGAGAGGGTAGCCCAAGGGTTTGCTGCAGGTTCGTTTCAGTTAGATGTTCATATGGTTGCCATATATTTTTGTCTATGAGTTTTTCATGGGTATTTCTTTGAGTAAACGCCAAAAGGAAAATGGAACAAGGAGACTGAAGTCGGAGAAATTGATAGGGACCGGGGGTTCGTTAAAGGCCCCAACATGGAAAGGGGGTTTCCAAGGCTTAAATCCAACCCTCAACAGGGTACCCTCAAAACAAGACGTACCGGAGATCGGTACCTAGGTACTGTGTGACAAGGGGGGGGTGGAGTTACGGCCTGGGACAGTGGAATGGCAACCCTGTAGAATCTCCGGCCAGTTTTTGAAGGCCCAAGGAGCAACAGGGAGCAACCTCAGTTTCTCTCGAAAGCAAGAAACCTCCCTCAACATACAGAGGAGCCCAGCAAAGGGAACAACAAAAAATGGAGCCCGCAAGGTGACCAACTGCAGGAGTATGGCACGCCCAGCAGCGGGAACAAGAGGCCCTGCCCAACGCGGGCTGGGGTTACCCGAGCGATCTGAGGCTCCGACATCCATCAAGGAGGGGCTTGCGGTTTTGCACATGCCCCTCAGTCGACAGCGCTCAAGCCCGGCACCCCAAAGACACCACGAGGCATGCCACCCTCAAAGGACCTCAAGTGAGAAAGGGGTAAATAAGTGCTGCTAGGCTGCTTCAGGTCAAATAGGACTAATCAACAGACAATGATAAACCACACTTGAACTAATCAAACTAAGCAAGAACAAACAAGGACAAAAAGGCACGCGAGAAATAAGGCGAACCAAGGTTGAGTCATTCATAGAAGGAAAAATGGGGAAGGCCAAGCAGGTGGCAAAAGGCGATACAAGACAAACCGAACGCGGCCAAATTGGGGCAAAAACAATAGTGCCAGGCATTCCATGCAGTTGCCTCAAAGCCATACTTGAGGCGGCAGCATGCTTCCAAAATTCTTGAAACACTGGTTGTAACTCAATCACTTGCATCTCCCAAGCGTGTTGTTCTCAAGCTTCTTCACCTCATATCAGGTACCCGGCCTCCTTAACACTACAGCGAAGCCAAACTAAATCAGGCCTTACCCATTCGCGGTCGATTGCAAGCGAAACCATAAACCATTGGCAACCCCATCTTCACCATGAACCATTGGCAACCCAAGGGCATAATCTTGCAGATGGCAGTTGAACAGCCTGGCAATGCAGCTGTTGGTCCAAAGGAGCAGTTTGCCCCTGCTTCAACGGAAGAGAGGGAAATCTTGAAATTCAACTAAATGCAGAAACCTCACAAACCAAGTCTCAAAAACCCACAAGGGTTGAATCGGGCTTAACGAGCCTTACGCCAACAATGAGGCCAGCAAAAAGGCCTGAACAGTCCGTATCCCGAGAGGTCTTTGGGAGAATCTCCGTCCTGCAGTTGCAACCGACTAAAAATCCCCCAAAAAACGAAAATTCGAAACCCGCAAAAATTTTGCTCCCCGTGGTTTGCCCCCTTTTTCCGGCAACTCCAGCAGCCAGGCGTCCAGATCTTCTCGAAGTTGGCCTTGTAGAACTCCCAGGTGAACTCCACGGCTTCTTTCGAGGACGCAGCTACAGAGTTCAGAGGATAGAAGAAGTCCTCAATCGCGAGCTTCCGGCGACTCAAGCCAATGACTAAACCAAAAGGTCAAGCAAACCTCTATGTTCAAACGAACCACCAAGAGTGAACACCTCTATTGCCAACATAGCCTCGTTTCGTGGCCTCCTTAAAAGTGCTCAAAGAGATTGGCCAAGATCTGGCCGTTTCAACCATTTTGCACCTATTAGCTTGTGCTCCTTTCTGCGCATGCACATGAAGAACCACACGAATGAATCAACGCATGAATCCGGCGAAGTTACTAAGCATGAGGGCTAAAGTAGCTTGCAGGGAGGTCCTTTGACCATTTAAACCCCCCTGTGGAAAGGACCCTTGATGGGTGAGCTGGCTTTACTCCCGGGTGAGGGTTTCTCGTGACACCTTGTCCAGAGGTTCTATCGCACTGTTGGTGACTCTCCGTCCTTCCCCTGGCTCCCCCTCACTAAGTGTCTTTGGAAGGTCGCTATGAAGATCCCTGACTGAAGGGCTTCATGTCTGCATCCAGGGAAAATAGCCCAGGCTTCCTCCAGGCTCCCCGGCTCCCTACGGAACCTTAAAAACCTCAAGGTTCCTCAATGCTCCCCGTTTACCCACTCCCCCCCCCCCCCTCCCTTTAGGGGTAGAACCTACTGGGCGTCCTGGATCTTGATGTCCCCGGAGATCACCCATTGCAGTACATCTTTCTTCAGAGCAGCGCTGGCAGCGCTGCCAATGGTGACCTCGGAAACTTCGTCAGGGGGTTGCGGCGGTTCGCTTGAGCAGGCTTCAAATGCGAATTCATTTTAATTGGGGATTTTGCAGTGCACATCGTTCAGGTGGGAACTTATCCACTAACCATGTTCAAGGAGGTTCCCCATTGCGATGCATAGCCAAATCAGATTTGAGACGAAGCGAAATTAACCGGGAGAGATTTTCCTTGGCATCATCTGCGGGGCATTCAAAGGAGCATCAGGAAACATCAGGCAAATCCCTCAGACGAAGCCCCCCTTTTTGGATGAGAGTGGGGAGAGTCTTCTTGTGCAGTCAGTGACTCCTTTGTCTAGTGCTGTTCAAGAGAAACCAAACAGAAACCATCACTTTTGAGGGAATCCCACATTTTGAGATTCCAAATTGTCCGGGGGCCTTTCTTTTCCCAATTCGCAGTGGACCCCATGGTGCTCAAAGGGAGTTGGTTCTGATTTTGGGGGTGTCTCCAAAGGCAGCCAACAGAAGGATATCCAGGATTGTCGGGAGTCCCTCCATTTTCACCCCACCATGTTTCGCGACACTCAAATTAAACGGCCCATCTCGAGCTTGAGACCGTTCAGCTCTGAGGGCAGGGCGTAGACGTGTTTCCTCTCGATATTGGTTTCCGCCTTGCTATGGATTTCTCTCACCGCCTTGTACTCCTTGCGCAGATCAAACGTCAAACTCGAACTCCCAAACCCTCCCCCAGCCGTTTCCACTTGACCTTCTTGCCTTGTTTTGCCCTCACACTGTCCATGGGCAAATCCTGCACCAGTTGATAGGTGTGCTTCTCCCGTTGTTCATACGGTAGCAATACGGCTTCATCAACATGGTAGGCGTTCCCTCGGTTTCCCTGTAAAACAACCCCAAAATGCATCCCTAAAAGACACCCGTATATTCTTCCTCCAGGGTTGACACGCTGTTCACTGTTCCGAGCGATCAATCGATGATCGGCTCCTTCTCCCCGCCGGATTGGAGCACCATGCGGAACACGGGCCTGAGCGCAATGCCAAGCCAGCGATTCCACTTCCGTGTCAGGTACGTAATCTAGAAAACCACCCTTTAAAAAGAAAAAATGGCTGGTTACCTGCTCTAGGGGGAACTGGGATCCACTGGGGCATGATCCAAAGTCTCCTGCCCGAACCCCTGCCCCCCTGTTTCCTCCAAATGAGCACGTAAGATTGCCTTACCAGGGTCTTCCGTTCGAAAACAGGGGTGGTTTAGGCAAGGGGGAATCCTGTGATAGTGGCAACTTCCTTATTATTTCCATGACTCCAAAGAAACCGCCAACAATCAGCGGAGGGATGTTTTATGAACAGAGCGATGGTTGAATCCAATGGAAAATAAGAAATAAACCCCTAGAATCAAAGCTTTCAACCAAACCCCTGTACCATTTCGGTTGGCATCAAAATGAGTTCCAGTCCCTTTTTTGGCTAGCTTCGAGGCGACACTCACAGACAACCAACCACCTGAAGGACTTGGTCACTTTTTGACAAGCACTAGGCACTCGTTGTTCAGAGGGAAGCCAATTGGAGACCACACACTTTGTGCTTCGAGCGGTGCTCAAGTAAATTGAGTGGATCTAGGATGGGTTACTCTCTGCATAGTGGCTATATGGTGGCATGTGTGTGTGTGTGCAGGATATACACCACTATGAGCTCCATACAGCTTTGGAAAGGATATGGGACAATTGGGGAACCCCCTGGCCCCAAACCAACAGTGGCCTACCAAGCCCGGAACCGTTTCTTGAGGGGAACCTACCAAACCAAAAGGGGTTTATTTAGAGGGAGCCATTGACGAACTGGGACTAACAGCCCCAACCTTTTCTCCTTGGGTCTCTGCAGTGGTCTGGGTTAGGACATCCTGCTCTCTACGGATCGATTTGTTCCATTTGTTGTTGCTCATCGGTCTTTCAAGAATCGGCCGTTCCCCTGGTCTTTGTTGGATGTGGGGAAAGAAGATCCCAGAAGAAATGGGACAGTTCAGATGGCACAACTCTCTTTATGTGGGTAAATAAAGGGGACGTAACGTATACCAAAACTTGCGGTCTAAGTCTGAGACCACCCAGCTGATCTTGCGGCTCTTCTCGGCCAAGGAGCTCCTTGATGTCATCTGGGAGGCATGCGGAGTCGCCTAACGCGGCTGACTCGTCCAAAGGCGTGCGCCGGACAAAAAAGAAGAAGATAGAATCCGATCACCTAAACCCACCAAAAGCCCCCTTTTCCTAAAATGAGACCATAGCCAGGTCGTATTAAGGCCTTACTTGGAAACCAGGGGGCCAAGGTAGACTTTGCAGGTGTGCTACTTTTGAAAATCAAACAACCCTGAGTTTGAGGTCTGTCTAAGCACATTATGGCAAGCTGACGAAAAGGGACTGGGTCAATTGGCCAACAGCGGTGCGCTATTGGCACGTGGGGAACCGCTTTGTTCCAAACGTTCGAAGATTAAAAGGTCGAAGAGCGACCAAGAAATACTCACATGGGCGTGTCCTTGTTTGAGTCTGAGGGTATTCTGGTTAGATTGGTTCAAAGAAAAAAGGAAGGGAAAGTGCACCGCTTCGCCCTCTACAGAAAAGAAAAAGGAGGCAGGACTCTGGATCCAACCCGGGAAGCCGCTTGATGGGATCCACTCCCGAATTGCCTCCCAACTAGATTAGCACAAAGCAAAAGGTGTCTGATCCGAAAAGGGGAAGCCAGAAGCGGAACGCACATTTATTCAGCACAAACAAACAACACGACGCATGTGGGTGTGTTTTGAGGGTACGTTTTTCAGGCCAAAAGGGGGCCTTGACCAAAACCCATGTTGGTCCCTTTACGCGCCGTGTCCGACTTCTCTTCCCGCCAACCCATCCAAGGGGATCTCTTAGATTTCCAAATGGCTGCTCCGGGTGGCCGGCTGATCAGAAACCAAAAGCCGGATTGACCTTCCTAATGGTTGACGTCCGAAGGGGAGAAAAAAAGAGAATATTTTAGCAGTTAAGTGGGGATTTCCCACTAAACCACAACAAGCAAAAATGCAACATGTTTCCCAAGAACAACCATGAATAACCCCTTTTTGGAACCCCAACCAGGGGATCGGCTCTTCCGCCCGATTCCCTTCGCGCGGTTTGAGGTTTCGGCGCCTGCCAGGAAGGCCTCGAAGCGCTTCTTGGCCTCCTGGATGGCCTCCGGGTCCTGCGGAATTCGCTTCCAACGAGTCAGAATCAAACGCCGGTATTAACAGAATAGTCACATTCCTGAGCACGGCTTGGTCCGAGGACAGCTGAATCATGGTTAAAACCAGGTATTAAAATGGTCGTAATCCCAGAACCAAGCTTCAAGAATTGAGAAGGCGGATATCCGCAGCTATCTATGGTTGGGATTAGCCCTTGCTAACCTTCATCTACCCGGGATTTGATGGCTCCCATGGCACGGAACCCAAGGTGACAGGCGTCCGGGTAAAAACGGGCGGAAACTCCGAGCCCACAAAAATTGAGAGCCCGACAAAAAATCAGAAACAACACAAGTGAAGGCGCAACTGTGTATCAAACAAGAACTAATGGTGGATGATAAATGACATGCTGTATGAAAGAATGCGATGGTTTTGCAAACCACCAACAAGCGATGAATTCGTTTGTAGGTTGAATGGTACCCTTCTTTGAAAGCGCCCTAATGTGTTGTATTTCTTTAAACTGGGGTAGAGGATGTCTTGCCTGGCTTCCAGAGGAATTGGTTTGTATGATCCTGAACCTCAAGGGCAAAACCAACAGTCCAAGCCGGTATCCCTTAGTGTGACACCAATACAAAGCAAAATCTGAACCCGCGGGACCCGTGCTCTTGACGCGCAGCATTCCAACAGCTTGCGAGTTCCAACATCTTGCAACTGCCAGCAGAATGTCTGAGTTTGGGTAAGCAGGCCACTAGCCATAGGCCACAAGCCACAAGCCACACGAAATGTAATGGTGTTTAACCTAGCTTCCCTTTCTTGGGTTCATACTACGGTATCCCGCATTGAAGAACCCACATCTTCCACCAAAGAGCTCCCCGTGTTTTCGTTCAAGGATGCCACACCCAACTTCGGCCCCGGTCTTTTTTGGGATCCCTGCATAAGGTCCAGTTTGAAAGCACCGCCTTTGGGGCCTGGCGCCCCCGCCCATGGCCCCAAAGCCCCAAGCCCCGGAGGCCTGAGAGAACTTGGCCTGCAGGTTGATCAGATCTTCCTGAGCCGGGAGAGAGCTGGCACGGATCTGTTCCAAGCACTGAGCTCTAAGGTATATCTGCGATTCATATCTGCACAAAATACATCAAGGCCAAAACTAACCATCTAAAAGCCAGTCTCAAAATCTGAAAAAGGTAGCCCAGTAGATGGGTCTGCCTTAAAACAGGGGACCCTAATTGTCCCTATTGTTTTGCTTGGAAAACCAGCCAAAAGGGGTCTTCGGAAGAGACACCCAGAGGCTGGCTGCTTGACACTTCTGTGGTCTTTCATCCGGACATGCTTTTTCATCGATCTCCAGTCCATGTCCATTGGACACAAGTGATCTTGCTTCCCCAAGGCGACCTTTCGGGCCTGGTCCGTCCCTCAAACCAAACGCGGGAAACGTAATCGGCACCTTTAAGAAGTCACCAACCCGAACTGAAAGCAATCCCAACAACTGGAGTGACCTGCATCTTCCATTTGCCTTGTTCATTTTGCCAAGTCAATTCAGATTGTGTGGAATCACTCGCTATTCTTGCGCAATGATCTTTGCACAACTGATCCGACCCCGCTTAACACATTCACTTATTCAAATCATTGAACGGGACAATGAAGGAACACCAAAACCCCAGTTGCCCATCGACCCGTGAACAAAAGACTTGGATCCTTTTTGTCATCGACCCGTTTCAGAGGGGAACCCCCCAAACAAAGGCGCAAATGTCCACTGCAAAACGTAAAGGTCAGCTAAGCTGGACTTACAAAGACTAGCCAATACTAGCCAAGGACATCCAGGGAGCCAAGGAGCCAAGGATACCAACAAATTCCCACGAAATAGAAGCGAAGAGAACAAACACAATGTGCAAATATTCCCGCCACATGCTATTTGTCGTTTTGTTGGACCAGTTTGGTGGACTCCGAGGACCCAAATTCACCGCCATTGGTTAATGACAGGTAGCACAGTGCCGCGTCAAAGGCCGAGTTGCCCGCAGAAGCCCATCCAGGTGCCCATCCGACTCCTTCTGCTGCCATCCAATCTGCGCGGCCAAGCTGCCATGTTGAACGCGAACACATTGCACCAAGGGTCCCCATGTTCACACCTAGTTTGACCTGTTTTGACACCTCAAAAACCACGCAAGGGTCTGGGGTACCACCCCCCCAAAAGAAAAAAGAGGAACAACACAAACGAGTGTTTCTGAACATGATGAATCACGAGTATCCAGGAGGTCGGGCTGCTCTAGATTTCCCAGGCAAACCAGGTGCGGCCCTCGACCGCAGCTCCGGAGCAAGCAGCTGTCCACCGCTCACGAGGCGAACATCATTACCCCACGCCTCCTTCGCGGCATCTGCGATCAACTTGCTCACGAAGGACTTGAAGGAAGCGTAGACCGAATCCTCGGCGATGCTCACCATGGGATCCATCCCCTCCCGAAGCCCCAGGTTTCCTCCGAACAAGGCCTTACCCCGCTAGGCAGGTAATGACCATGAGGTACAAGGGGGCAAATCTCAGTTACGCACGTTGTAAAATCATGGTTGTCATCTACTCGCGTTGATTGAAACAACAACAACCCGGGGTGCTATGAAGCTGGGGTGGGGCAGGCTCAGATCTAGACCTTGCAGGGCGGCGACCTCAAGTTTGGGGGGCTAGGAACACGTCGTGCTAAGGGCGAAACCGCCAAGCCGGGTAGACAGAGGTCTCAAGGCTGCCCGCTCAGGCACAGCACTGAATGGTCTTTGATCAGTTTAACAGTGGTAAAAGCTGCAAAGTCTCTGCTGGTTGAATCCCATGCTTTCTCCCATCGTTCGATTGAGAAACCACCAACATTCCCTGACTGCCGGGCAATCATCTGAAAAGAAGGATCAAGAAAGAGAGCAACCAATGACCAGCTACACGTCAGACAAGCCTTGGTAGCAGAGCGGCACTAACGCCCACCATAAGCATGGCGTTGAAGCCATTCCTTAGGAACTTCGGCGCTTGACAAGCAGATATCGGGAATGTATCTAGGAACTCTTGCACCTCCCTTTTTATTGCGAGATTTAGACAGGATTCAGAGAATAATAGGAAATCAGATCTACGTCTGGGGGCCCGCGGGTGTATCAAAGAGATGAGATGACTAGTTCGCTGAAAATGTTGGATTCCCTCTGACACCTCGTCTAAGCAGCATGAATAAGAGGATACCCAAGTGCTTGAGGTGTGCCAAAGCCCCCCTACGAGTACCATACCATCCAAGATACAGTTGAGTGAAAGTAGATGGCACAAGTTCCAACTTGGGAGTACTCTTCCCTTTACATACCCACAAAACAACCCCAGCGCTACCTCAAAGACAGTGGGTGGCAAAAAACAACTGCATGAGCACCATCCCCCCTTAGGGGGGTCTGACAGACATCCTTCAAAGCTCACTTTAACATCACGGCATGAAATACCACGAAAAGGCACCCTCATGAGTGTCGAGTCCCATTCTCTGAAAGCTCCCCTGGTGAGGGAGCTGCGTGTCACAGGGGCGGGCTGAAAATCTCATGAATCAGCGCTTTAAACTTTCTCGCAAGGCGCAAGACCTGCGAGATGGCGTCCCACACGATGTAGTTCCTCTCGTTCTTGAATGACGCCAACAGCTGGAAGACCTACATGGCTGCCAGACGTATCCTCAAAATGGGAGTCTATGTTTGGTTTCGTTGGCCGTTGTTTGGGTTGTTTGTTTGCCGCTGGTTTTGACTTTGGTGACCTTTTCTGTTCATATACGATTGATTGTATATTTCAACCAGTGTCTGCTTTCTTGGCCTTTAGGCCGGTATTCGCCAAAAAGTTGAAAAGTGGGTGTTTGTGAGACTTTGTTTCCACCCGAGGAAAGAATCCGTTGGACCAAGGTGAAAGGGGGCCGAGAAGGGGGACCATGGTGCCCTAACAGTTGTTAGAACTGCCCAACGTGCCACACCAAAAACGTCTCATTCCTCCCTCCCCCCCCGAAAAGCAAGTCACTTCTTCGCAGGGCAAATGTCTGAAAAGGGGAAGTGCCTCTACATGCCCCTTTCCATTCGTGGCTTGGCACCGGGCCCACAGCCTCCGCGAGACCCGCGCGAGCCCCGCGCCTTGTCGGCCCCGAGCTTGCCGGCTTTGGCCAGGGCGAAGGAGTCCAGTACCTGGCGTCCGACGTCGACTTCTGGCCCCATGAAAATTGTCCCACCGTCAAAGTCAGCCCCTGTGGTCAAAGGGAACCCCCAATTTCACCCCCAATTTCAGTTGCTGACGTTGATACTTTGATAACCCCCAAAAAGTAGAAACAAAGAGCGATCCCAGGAAACAACTCGTGCCAATGAGCAATCTGGTGGCAGGTAATCTCATTTCCACCCCGAACTTCCCCGCTGGCGCACCAGGCCAGCACGGTCGCTCACACCCAGCTGCCCTTTCTGAATGGCCGTGGCCAGTTTGCTGTAGAGCTCGTCCGTGTACCTTAGACAGTCTTAAAAGCAAGTTCCCTTCTCAAATCCTGCTCCCAATTTAGAGGGGCTATGTCCCCTTGTTTCGTGGTTTGGACTCCCAAATCAGGTTTCCCGTGTTTGGGCTTCAACTCGATTTCACGTCCAACCATGAAATTCGCTATCACTTTACAGGAAACTCGCAAAGAACATGCAAAATTGTACGATACCTCCGCAGCTCTTGGTAGTTCATGTCAGCTATGAAGGGTTCCAAGATGTTCCAAGAAGATGTCCAACTTGCAAACAGCACCCCGTCAACAGGAAACCCATATCAATTTCAGCCTGCCTTCCAAAAATAAAACACAGAGCTTCCCTAGTGCTGGCGGTGTCTGAGGTGGTGGCTTTGTCTGGGCTGTTTCATCCAGCACGGCGAAAAAATGGACGAGGTCTCCTTCGAGCATCCCTAAAAAAGCCACCTGATCTGCACTGACCACAATTCACCGACCAGAAGTGAGGAATCCCCAGTCAAGCAGCTTCGTCACTTCGTCGCAAGGGTGGAATCGTGGTTCTACCCACAAATCGATGAGCTCGCTGAAATCAATCAGAAGTCTAGACGAATCCCAAGACCTGAATTGAGGGATCCCAAACTCAAAACCCGAAGGGGATTCGCCAAGGGGCCATCATGGTGAACTCCAATTGAGCTCGCCATAGGCAAAATTCGCGCAAGCTTGCTAAAAACAAAAACACGGCGGGGGACCCGCCCCTTCGCCGAGCCGCAGCACCCGCACGGGCACTTCCCTGCCTCGCGAAATCGGCAAATTCAAATGGTGCTTCTCAAGCTGAAGTTGACCTCTGACGGCGCCTCTTTGCTTCTCACTTGGACGTTTGCCATGACTGGTAGCCTTCCGTCAACCAACATGGAAACTCGCTAGAGCGTCACTTTTGAGAGGACCACTATCTTCCAGCACCCCCAGCCAGGTTCCGTTCTGTATGGCGCATGCCCGCCAGTTTCATTGCCAGCCCTCCAGCCCTGCATTGGGCGGCAAACGGCTCTCGCGCCTGCATTGATCAGAAGGAAGTCCGACTTGGGGATGCTGAACTTCTGAGTCTTGCCCTGGCCGAGTGGCCGAATGGGCGAGCGGGATCGAAGCCCTGGTGGTGTTAGTCACTAATTGTCGGGTTTGCTAGATATCCAAGGGAAATCGCAAGAAAACAGACTCAGGCAAAACCTCTTGTCTGTCACGTTGGGAGATTGAAAATCTGAAGGTTGCAAGTTTAGGGAATAGGGAAGGTGCCAAAGGTGCCAGGCTTGACGTTCCGCTTTCCCTGGTGGAATAACAAATCCCCAAGTAGAAGGCCTCCCTTCATGGCCGGAATGTCCCGCGTTGGCAGCCTCGTGACAATTTGCCCGGTTTCATAGGCTGCAGGGCACGCGCCCCCCTTCAGCTCCGACTGGCCTCCATGAGCACTGGCTTCGCGTCCTGGAAGATGATGGGAATCGTCCAGGTCTTCTCCTCCTCCTTCTTCACCTGAGTCACAATCAAAACTTGGTTGACGTTGGAAGGGGAGCAAAGATTTATGTTTGAGCAATTAAGTGGGGATTTCCCACTAAACTGCAATAAGCAAAAATGCAAAATGTTTCCCAACGAAAACCATGAACACCTGGTATGAAAATGGTCGTAATCCCAGTTTCATGCTTCAAGCATGAAGAAGGCGGATATCCGCAGCTAGTCATGGTTGGGATTGTCCCTTACTAACCTTCACTTACCCCGGTTTTGATTGTGGCACACCTTGCCCCCAGCGATTCCGCATGCAAGTTGGAAGGTAACCAAGGAAACCGGCCACCCAAACTGAAAACCACGAGGGAAATGGATCGAAGGGGTACCTACTATGGTGGTGGCTTGGCAAAACGCCTTGGATCCACTGACCCAGGGGTGACAAACGAATCTAGAGAGGGATCCTGCACGGTTCAATGGCGAATCCACCTGGGGATTCTCCATACTCGGAGTCCTGAACTCCCATTACAAGCTGAACACGCAGACCCCCATTCAGTTACAAGCCTGAGCTTGAGCAGACGAAAATGACTGCACTACTAGCTATAGACGCCACTCATCCGAGCTGGGTTGTTCCAAAATGGGTGGATCCCAAATCCTAATCGGGTAACTCGAATTTGGGAGCCACCCTTACAACAAGCGACACCACGAAACCCATCTAGCAATAGGATTTGTTGCCTGCGCCGCTGCGCCTTTTTTTTTCAAAACTCAGCGATCGATAGATCCATCTCCCCTTTTTGGATGGGTACAAAAACTACAGCGATCGTTCCAACAGCTGGAATGGATAAATTCCAATGAATGGGACAAACCACCTTCGTGGTTTGGAGGGGGGGGATTCCGTCCATCCACGCCACTGGGCTTCCTAAAACTACGGGGACCTTGTCGGTCAGGCGATTCGCGTAGAAAATGTGCAGGGCTTACCCAAACGCTGGCTTCGGCTTCCTAAATATCCTACCAAAGCGGTTTGGGGGTGGCTGCTTGAAGGCCCTAAATCGCTCGGCACTGTCTGGGTACTTCGTTTCAAATGGAACTCCCTCCCAAAACAAAGGAATCAAGTAGAGGGAACACAGCATCACCGGAGGTCTGTCAGGTTTTTGAGTTACATCAACGGAAAACCAAATGACAGCTCCACTGGACGCCGAGCTTTGGCTCGACAAAAACCGATCGATGCGAGCTCTGCGCACCTCGGAGCCATCTGCCAAGAACCAAGTCCTCGATTCGAAAAGCGAGTTATGCGTTTGTCGCAAAAACGGGAGGCCCCCACCAAATTGGTGGGGTGGGGTGGGGGGGGGGGGTCCTTTTGGTTTCCTGTTTGTTTAACTTTGAAGCCACCCTTAAAAGGGGTACCCAGAAAAAAGGGATGTACTCTCATAGGATTCTCTAAGATTGCAATCCCCCCTACCTTTACCCCTTGGCCTAGAACTGCCTGATGACTCAAACAAAGCAAACACCGGAACATCGGCGACACCTGTTTCGATTCCAACCCTCTCCCCCCCCTTCCGGCCACAAGTGCCGTAACCTGCCCTGACCCCCCGTTCCAACCAACACAAGATCAAGCCAAAGGGGGGGGGTTAGGGGATGGAGGGGGAAGATTCTAAGGAATGGAGGTGTTTCCCTTACAAGTTTGTTTCGTGTAGCAGCTGGGGCTTTCAGGCTGGGACATTAATTGCCCTGTGGAACGATCCCCTGCGTCACAGATCATGGTTGCGACGGTGGCAACTGGCAAGGGCGCCTTAGGTCTGATTGGCACCGGGACCGCTATAACCAACCCATTGCAAACAAGTCCAGTTTTTCATGGGTACAGACCCAAGGAAAATCTAGGTTCCGCCCCATCCATGAAAATCAACCTACCCAAAAAGCCTGTCATCTTTCGAGGGCATGTACCGGGGGCTGTTCGGAGGTGGGGAGGTTGTATGCTCAGTCAGGTGCACGATATTCATTAGACATGATCATCTGCGTTGAGAAACGACTGGAAATTTGCACACCACCCTAAAGGACTATCTTTTCAACTTGGCCCAAAAGGTGATGTTTAAGCGACACACAAAAGGTGGTGAGCAGTGAATACGGGATCCCTATCATGAGCGTCGCACACCAAAACCCCTTTGTGAGATCGAGTCGGGATGATTGTTCCATCTTCAAGCGTTGCCGCTACTTCCAACATGATGTCCACTACCCCAAACCACCATGATGGGCAAACCACTTACTAACAATATGTTCTGATGATGACTTGACTCGGTTTTAAAACTGACCCCCAACCCTCTGCATCAAACAAAAAGAGGGCCCTTGTAGTATCTTAGTTGCTCTCGGTTTAAGATGGAGATTAACATGGAAACCAAACAAGGAGTTCCCAAAATGTCCCCAAAAGAAGAAGACTCCTCTAGAGATTGTGGTTTTGTTTGGTTTTGCTGCAGGGGAGTAACTCAAAAGAGACCCCAGAAATAAGTTGGCAGAACAACAAACACTGTACCGCAGTGCCGCTGGTTTGCTGGTTCCCGTGGTTTGGGTGAAGATGTGGCTCACTTCCTAAGTGGGGTGGCCAAAACAAGTCTGAACTTACCACAAAGCTGATCTTCCCCCAAAGTACAAAGCCCAGGAACTCAGGGCCAGGGAGTGACTTGGGTAACTCGGGTATGTCACAAAGTCGCGGGGACACCCCCAAAAAAGTGGCTTTCCTTTTGTTTCCCCCTCCAAACCGACCACAAAAATTGGGTACCCTGCAAAGCCACCACGCCCAGTGCAGCTGCGGACCCCCTCCCCCCAAGAGCTCTCTGGCCATGGCTCTGCTCCAGCTCCACCTCCGTGCCACTGCAGCTCTTCACGGTGACCAGCGGGTAGCCTTCGAATCGATTCGGGGGGGTTTGCTTTTTCGCCCCCTGGAAAAAATCAGAAACATGTGTCCAGTAGTGAAATTGATTCCCCTTGAACCAACAAGGGAAACTTGAAAAACATATTATTAAGCAAATGGAAGGGAAGGAGTCACCTAATGGGTTCAATTCCCAAATAGGTGTAGATGCCCAAGATTTCCTCCAAGACAACCGTGGAATCAACCACTGAACCACTTTGGGTGTGTGTTGCCTAAATTGGTGCCCTGGCTTAAGGTGGCACCAAAGGCAAACCATGACGAAACCCTATTTTGGAAACCTTAAAGGGAATTATGGATGAAGAGAATGGAACATCAACCCTTGAAATATGACTTGGGAGCAATGGAACATCCGGAGGCTTCCCCGAAACTTGGTCTTAACCCCATGACACGTCTTCTTTGAATGATCCCGTTAAACCTTCCAAGACAGGCCGAAAGCCTTCCACCCGGCACCTTTGATTCGAAACAAGCCATAAATTGGGAAAGCCCTCAAAGCGGATGGTGTTCATTTGGAGCACCTTGCGATTCTTTGATTCCCTCAAAGCGGGTTTCATTTGGAGGTGCCTTACGACTTATTGACTTTTGTCCAAGGCTCCCATCCCCGTCGCCCCGGTCGTCCCGCCGGAAATCTTTTTCTGCCGGGCCGCCCATCTGCTCCGTCCAGGATGCCATGAGCTTCTCGACCGGCTGGCCGCTGGCTTGGCTCCAGGCCTCACGAGGCCGGGCCCGGACACGTGGCCATACCTTTCTGGGCTGCCTGCTTTCTGATCCTCCGCAAAAAGCTTAACTTTTAGTGGGTTAATTGGAAACTACCACTAAACACTAAACGAGTGGCTACAGAAGGTCCTATGCCTCCCTACTGGAAACCGGGGTCACAAGCCCCCTGTCGAGTATGCAGAAAGCTCTCCGAAAACATCCAGGCTGTAGGCAAACACCTGAAGTTTGAAACAACTTATCCCAAGAGAAGCCTAGCTTTCCAAAACAGTTCAAAGTGCAAAACACATTCTCCCACCAAGGTTTGGGGAGCAGGTCCCCTTCCATTATAATCCTCAAAAGTGGTCTGTGCACCAGCCAAAGTCCTCCAGTACATGACTTTCCCATGCACGTTCGCAGCATCAATGCAGCAAAGCGACCTTCCACAGGTCTGTGGTCTCCGTGTTCGAGTACCTGGGATTAAAACACTGCCGGGTAGAAAGGCGAATCTGTACTTATAAGGCGAACCTGTTCATGCTGATCAAAAGGAAGCCCACCGTCTCGAGTCCAGTACTTAAGTACACATCCATATGAAACATGCACTGCAAACTGCATCGGTCATTCCCGTTCTCGTACAACCTATGCGTAAACAGGTTGACCTTGTTGACCATCACGCTGCAGACTCAAACTGCCGAGCCACGTACAACCCATTCAACACCCCCCCACACGCCAGTCAAACGGCACGGAACTTGCAAAGGATGGAGGCTGCCCCGCATGACTCGCTTGCAGCGACCTGATTCCACATCCAGGTAGCCAAAACCTTTTCTTTGGGGGTGGGATGTATTGCACCCTAGGCCGGAGATAAGGCGCCATGAGCCCTCGCATCGGTGAGCTCTGCAAACCCTCAGGTGACGTTGTCATAACTTGCCTAGACAATTCCATGACGTCAAGCATGCTGTGAGCCGAGTGGGTGTAATCCTCATCATTCCAGTTTGGATGCAGCGGCTGAATTGCTACACAGGTCCCGCTTCTACACCTACACATGAATTCATGTGCACAAGTACGGAATGCACATGTGCACATATCAAATATTATACCAATAACATATATCATGCTGCTTGGGTCGACGCATTGTACACAACCCAAGCTCACATTCTTCGCACACCTCAAGAAAACCAACCGGGCGTTGATTTATGCAGGCGAGTGGCTTGTGCTTCTGCATGTACGCTTGCAGGCCCGTCCTGCAAGGTGTGCACAAAGGCAATGCGGCTGCAAGTAGTATAGGGCGCCATGGGATGGCTGCAGCCCGCAGAGGTCTTGAATGGCCTCTACTAGTCTCTAGTCTTGACTGGGCTGCAATGGCTCCCTTTGCTATGGCTCTGAATCAATACATCACTCGAGCAACCTCACTCAGGGACCCAATTGTTGCGCTACCAAAAGATAAACTTCAAGTTTTGGGTGGCAAACATTTCCACACAGGCAACCCCCGAGGTTAAATCAGTTGGGGAAACATGAAATCGGACCCAGATCAGACTTCGTCTCCATTGGGGGGGATGGATCTCTGGAATTTATCCACCAACCAACATGGAATACGCCAGGTACCCTCTTTGAGGAATATGGTCTTGCAGGAACCCCAGTCAAGCTCAAGCGAGATGCTAGAGCAATTCCTTAGCTGCCACCAGCAGGCATCTCTAAACGTACCAGCCAGAACAACATGGGTTGTTTCCACGTGAAAACAGTTTTAGACCGGTCCAAATCTGGGTGCAAAGGGCATCCTCAAAAACCACATCCAAGTCCGGATCTGAGTTTTGGTTCTGTTTTGGTGTTGGCCCATTTCTAGCCATTGCTTGAAAAGGTTTACCTGCTTCGCTGGGAACTTTGTGGTTTCCTTCCCGGTTTCCCGAGCTGGTGGCAAGGGAAACTAAAGGTCAAAGGGGGCTCAAATTCCCTTCCGGTCCTGGCAGTTTCCCTTCAAAACCACAAAGAATTGGATTGGGTACATAGGTGTCCTTGTTTCGCAAACAAATGGCCCCCCAGCTAAACCAGGGCCCTCTATTGTTCAGCCAAACCAAGCAAAAAGGACACCTATGATCGGGTAACTTCAAGGATGCAGGGCCCGGATTGAGGTCCGTTTGCCGTCCCCTTCTTTTGCCGCGCCTAAAGGCGTCGGCGCCCAAATAAGCGTGCGCCATCTTGATCACGGAGGCACCTGGCAGGGAGTAGCCCACTGACTAAGGAAGGAACCAAAGGTCACCACTGAAGGTCTGAGAAATGACCCTCCAAGAAAGGAGCCTTCATGAAAGGACATAGTCACTGAAACTTGCCCAAGCGGTCCCAAGTGAGTAGCTCTTTTCAGCATGGCACGTATCGAACTCAGCCACAGCGCCCAGATCTGTGGTTGAGGATCTGACATGGCCTGAGAACTGGGTTTTTCTTGTACCCTTGCAAGGGTGTTCTTGAAAATCATCGTCGCCCTCCCAAAAAAAAGAAGAAGAAAAGAACAAGAAGCAAAGGTCCCCCGAATCCTGATAATTATTCCTCTCCACACTCCAATTCAAACTTTCTTACCAAGCCCAAGAAGCGGGTTGCTAGGGAGCTGCAGAGACAAGCTCAAATCTACGGTCTGCCGCACACTCGAGTGATTCCCACAACCTCTGCAAGCTGTAAATACGGAACAACTGAAACAAATCCTTCTACATTGGTGGGTTGAATGCAATACTTGGGCAAAGGTCCGTACACTCTTTGGCCATCCTTTTTGGCAAAAGTCCCACTTCGCAAGGAAGGGAATCAGTTAGGTCACCAGCGCCCCGCATCGAGCCTTTGCAGTAGGAGATGGCATCAAAGACTTCCTCCACCTCTCGAGAATGGGACTTATGGAGGCGATCGATTTGCTACTCAACATTGCTTGGTAACCCTGTCTGCACATAGCCCAAGGAAGGGAATGTAGACTTAGCCTGAGTTTGCACAACACAAACAAACATGGCTCAACTGCTCGACTCAAGAATGGCTGTTGGAATATGTAATGGTCCCTGTAAAACCCATGCATACCCACTGATTGGGGGGGTATGTCCGATTCGAGCATTTATATTTTTTTAACCTTTCAGGTCTGCAAGTGCAAACAGTTGCCGCGGAGGTCATCGATGTTTGAGAATGTCCCCCGTCTACTGCTCATGCAACATGTCCTTCTGTTGCAGGGTTCATGGGTAACTCTTTAGATGTCCAACCCGATGGACTTCCTCATGGGTGAATTTGGCCACATAAGATCTTACCAACCGTTGACCCAAAGCCGAGTCCAACCTCACTCCCTGGGAATTCCCCAGGTGGGTCCTTGCCCAAAGAGGGTACTATGACAAAAATCCGGAAGCACACTCTTTTTGTTGGTCTATGTTGATCTTGTCCAAGTGTCATTGGCAGTGTTTGAGGGGTCACCAGGGGCGTCTCGGACAGAGGGCAAAAAAAAGGCAACCTCTCTCAGGGTTGACCCAAACATCTTCGCCAGAATTAGACCCCCTGCAAACTTCAAAAGCTAACTTGTTGATAGTCATAGAATACAAATCAACACCACAAGGGCAAAAGCTAAGCCAAGTCTGGACATGACAATGAGCCTCTTGTCCTTCTAGGGTTCCCTTGTATTTTGTCCCCAAGGGGAAGTACTGAAGTACTCACATTGGCCCAACAGGTGATGTTTGAAGCAGAGCGGTTGACCAGCCCTACTTGTTGCAAGAAAAAACAAACAAAGAAGGGTTTCATGCTCTCAATTTTTGGCCACGAGATGGCGCGAGCACATGATTGGATGATTAGAACCCAACGGAAACCAGTGGAACCCAATGTTCAACCAAACCGATCTATGTTCAACCCATCTATGTTCAACCCATCTACGGAAACCAGTGGAAACCAATGGAAACCAGTGGAAACCAGTGGAAACCAGTGGAAACCAGTGGACACCAATGTTTCCCCACTCCGCTCTCGCCTCCTCTGCGTGATGGATGGGCACCTGGATGGGGTGCGAGCTCCTGAGGCTGTCCAAGCGCATCGCCTCGAAATTCACAAAACGAGGCGCGGAACGACGCGGCTTTTTTGGGAGACCCAACTAAAAACCCAGCAAAGACTGCACTCAACATGGCAAAACAGAAATGAAGAAATCATAAACGTAAAAATAAGCACAGACAAGGATACGTTTGCATGGGCGTTTCCTGGCAATCTCTGCAGCCCTGCTTGAATGATGTTCACAAGACAACCAAAAGACAACCAAAACATATTTTGTGGCTGTGGACGTCCAGGCTTTCTGGAAAGAAGGAAACCGGAAACAATTCTTGGAATCCCTAGATTGGTTAGTTGGCGGGAGGTAACAGCATCATGGAATGTCCAAGCGGCTGCTGCTTGAGCATCAGTGGTGAACTGATCCCACCTGAGCAAGTTTGCATTTGGACCAAAGGAACCCTAGCTTGAGACAATCCCGCTTGACAATGAATCTCACCAGAGTTTTCAATTTGCAGGGAGGCACGGCTGAGATGTCCAGCGATTTACTCGCAGCTCTGTGGGCATAGTCACTCTACTCCAATGCAAATCAACATAGAACCTCCAAAAGTGCCCCCCAGAAGACAATTCCTCTTAACACGCAAACACGCAAACACACAAACACACAAATACACAAACAAACAACCACACACACACACCCACACACACACAAACACACAAACACACAAACACACAGACACACAAACAAACAAACAAGTTACAAACACACAAACACACAAACACACAGACACACCCACACACAAGCACACAAACACACAAACACACAAACACACAAACAAACAAACACACACACCCACACACACACACACAGTCTGTTTGTTGAGCTCCACGCTCGGCAAGAGCTCCGCCTTCTATGTATATTCTGTACATATTCACTGTATACATGTCTATAATCTCTATATATATATTATGTATATTCTATATCCGAGCAAATGGCGAGCTCGAGACAAGCCAACGCCCCGGAACCTCTGAATTTGGGGTACTGGGGTTGAAAGCAGGGGCCCGCTATACAGAGGTCGGTTCTTGTCTTGGCTTCTCTTAAAATACCAAGCAAAGAGGAACCTCGAATTCACGACCTTCCCAGCCGTGGGTGCGAGGGGGGGGAGCCAAAAGCGCCTTCACACTTTCAAAGCCCTAGGTGTTAAACGTGGGAGCTGGACAAATGCAAACTACCTGTTTCCATTTGGTCTACTTTTGGAAAAACATGTGGGGATTGTGGCAAGGGGAACCCAACGTACACGGCAATGCTTCGGGTCAAGTCAAGTTGGGACCGGGCGACGACACACAGCCATCAGCCTATGCGGCCAAAGCCACATGGCGAAATCCGGGAAGATCTGGTCCGCCATGTAGTTCTCACCTTTGCAAAGCAGGCCGGACGGAGTCCGCTTGCTTTGCACCACGGCTTCAAGGTCTGCAACAAACATATGCTGGCTGGGTCCCACTTATACACTTGACATGGCAATGGTGTCCGGGAATGAAGGGGACATGAAGGGGCAAT